TCCTGCTGAGGTTTTCTTGGGTGTTTCACTGAGCTTCCTTATTTTATGCGCTCCGGTACATTTGTAAATTTACTCTCGCTGATAGAGCGTGCGTTACCTGGAAATGCTGATGGTACCTTTATAATAGTGTTAGAGTGGTGACAGCTCCTATCTAGGAACTTTGATCTTCAGACCTGTGTGCGCGAGGCTCCTTACTGCTTTTCTAAACACTGAGAACTTACATTTTAGTGTTTTATGGTGTATTTAAGTTCTTTCAAGTTGGACCTATTCAAACAGCATGAGACAAATTTTATGGACTCATTATTCTTGAAGATTTTATGTAATGTTCCTAAACGCAAAGCTAACAGAAGTGATGATAAGGAACTCTGTGAGGTATGCAGTCTGGCTTAAGCCTTGAAGGTATCACTCAGGTTATTAGAAGCGTTCAAACATTTCCCTGTCAGCATGTTCAGGTTCGTAAAACAAACAGGTTCCAGCCTTTTCTTTTTGAGTTTATTACTGAAAAAAACCACCTGACCAATGTGCTTCATTTTGGGGATTGGTGTCCAGTAGTGGAGAGAGGACCAAGGAAAAGGCTGCAGCCCTCGCGCGTTGCCAGGCATGACCCCGTTACCCCGCTCCGTCAGGACAGCTTTAGCAGCTGGGGGTGTGCACAGGCAGTTTCTTCCAGACACGCTTGTGCGACAGGAAGGATTTACTGTTCTTCCAGCCCTCGATCATTCCCTCTGACAGTTTCATCGCCCACAGAGCAGATGAGGAGATTTCTTCCTAATTTCCCTCAAGGTAAAGAGCAGGTTGGTAAAACACCGGTCGCATCCTTTGTTACCTTCCTGCTGAGAGTGGGCCAGGCCGAGTTGCACGTGATCTCTGCAGCCAAGTCCCAGAGCGCTGCTGTCCTGTGCTGCAAGGTGCATGGTCACCTTCCACCATACTGCAGCATCTCTCCGCATCTGAAGAGTGTGGAGAGGAAGATAAACTTGTGTCCTGCTCAAAATCAGGAGGAGCAGCTGTGGCAATGTAAAATTTTTGTCACCTCGTGTTGTTCAGGGACGTGGTAGAGGTGTGCAGAAGGAAAAGGCCCTTCTGCCAGCATGAGCTGGTCTGTCCTGGCAGCGATGCAGGGGTAGGGGAAGAGCCTTACAGCTGAAGCCAGCGTCTTTGGCAAATGCTTCCTAACGACGAGGCCACCAGCTGAAGCTGCCTCGATGTTCTTAGGGCAGTTTGTGACTTTGCTAAGTGGCCGTTTGGTAAAACAGATGCCTGCGCTGTGCTCTCTCCTGTTTGTGGCTTCGCAGGAGGGCTTTGACTTAGGTGCTTCTCAGGCGTTAGATCAGCTCTGGGGACTTGACTGTGGGGAGGGAGTGGTTTTTTTTGCTGCTTACTTGTACCACATCTCAAGTTTTAATCTTCTGTAAGGAATTGCTATTGAAGATGCTTGTATTTGTGCACAGAAAATTGTGAATTCTCTTCTAAATGCACTTGATTAAATCTAGTTTTAAAAATGTCTGTATTGAAATTATATTTCCTGTTGATGTGAAAATAATAAAGCAACTGAGTTAATTTCTGGCTTCCCTACTGCGGAGACCTGAGGAAAAGGCATCACATCGTGCCGGTGCGGCTAACCTTCTGCGTGCTGAATTACTGCCTGCGCTTGTGTGCTCGGCGGAGGCTGGGTGATTGTGGGGGTGTGCTGACCACAGGACGTGAGGCCGTAGCTGGCCAAGAAGCTGCAGAAACGCAGTGACTTTGTACAGCAGGGCCTTGCCATCAGGTCAGGTTTTATGTGAGGATATTTTTATGGGGTTCAAGTGATTTTTGTGTCGTGTTTCGAACAGCGTTACGGGTAGCTTTGTAGTTGGGAGTAGCTCAGACCTTGCTGAATTGGAGCAGGGGGGCAGAGGGGTTGTTACCCACGCAAGGGCAGGGTTCGTTAACTGCGTGTTCACCGTGGTCATCCCATCACCTTCACCAGAAAGGGAAGCTGCTTCCTACTGCTACGAGCAGCCTTTGTAAGACCAAGGACAGTCGGGAGCAGGTGCTTGTGGAGTCTGTGGGATCTTACTCAGGAGGTGCTCCTATGTGACGGGCACATGGCTAACCTTTCCGCTTCCCGGAAACCCTCGAGGGAATTGGCTGCTTCATGAATGGGAGGTGGAGTTGTTTGAGCAAGTAACGAGTGGGGATGTTGGCGGAAGCACCGCTGTGTCTTTAACATTTTTCCAGGGATTAGCTGTTCCTTTGCAGTGCGCTGGGTGTATGCAGTCTCCTGTTGACAGTAAGATTCCCCAGAGTCGCTTTGCTGCGTGTGTCTTGCTCCAGCCTGTTACAGGCAGCGTGTGGTATTTCTCACCACTGGAGTTTTACAGGCTTGGATGGGGGAGGGGTTAGGTTTTGGGTTTTTTCACCCCTTCCTATCAGCATTGGTTTTATTTTTCCATTCCTGGAGTGGCTGGCCAGGTTTTTTGTCTGAATGATGAAGACCATTCGGTGTTCTGTGTAGTTGGGAATAAACACTTCAGTAGAAATTGCCACCAAGGCTGTGTGAAGTCAGCTCTTCGTTTTGTAGGCTAATAGGAAATAGAATAAAACAAGTAAAGCAAAACCACAGCAGGTAGGTAAATCGGCGGTTAGAATGTCTGAGACTGTTTGAGGGGATGGGGCAGGGTTGAGGTCAGTTGGACCACTGACCTGGGCAAGTCTCGCATCCTGTGGGGAGGCGTACACAACAACATGATGCTTCCAAGCTGGCTGACAGCCGGTTCCGGCGTGTCTGCACTGATGCACAGTCAATTCACGGCGGTGGGAGCTGAGAGGTGGTGGCAGTTGGCAGTCCCTTCATGCCCTCTGCTTCTGTGTCTTGTGCTGGTGCAGGCTGTTTGTTTTCCCTTTGAGCACTCCTAATGCAGAAGCCTGTTCCTGGTCCCAGGTTTTCTTTCCCCATATATCACATCGTGTTTCTTGGCTTCTGTTTGTTACTGCAATGTGCTTCATAGGGGTGAAGCTACAGGGGATTTTGCTTTGCTTCTTAACCAAGCCAACAGTAGAGGGCAACAAAGGATATATTTCCTCTTATGCTTCCCTGGAATAGCAGACTGCCCCAGATATCAAATATTTTACCTCATGTTAGTCCCTTTCCTGCCGTTTTGGAAGGTTTTGGTGACTTCAGTTAATTTTCAAACTCATGTGCAATGCCTCTTGTATAATTATCAAACTTAGCTGGCCTCTGCTCTGGGTGTTTTATGGAGGAAAAAGGATTTGGAAGGAAGATCACAAGACAGTCATGACTCCAGCAAAGCTGTTCCCTTTGAGATGCAGGGATGCAGCCCAATCTTTTTGCATGGGAAGAGGTAGGAAGAACTCCCACGGAGTTCCATGGGAGCCTGGCTTTGAATCAGCAGATCTGTGAGGAAGAAAACAGCTGAGTTAACTGATCTCTTTCCCATTGTAGACACCAAGCAGCTATTTCATGAGAGGTAGGAAGAACTCCCACGGAGTTCCATGGGAGCCTGGCTTTGAATCAGCAGATCTGTGAGGAAGAAAACAGCTGAGTTAGCTGCTTGGTGTCTGCAATGGGAAAGAGATCAGTT